GTAAAGAAAAGCACATGACTATCCAAGTGCTCTGGGGGTTTGTGAAATGTGAGGACAGACCCACTGGACAGGAAGGACCAAATCCTGAGCAGGAATTGACTCTGATACAGGTTGTTTGCTTTTCATTTTTTGCCTATCCGGAATATTTTACAGCTTATGCAGAATATTATATCATTTTAAGTGAGTTTGGAAGGTAAGAAGTCTAGTGTTTCAATCTCTGGGTACTGTATTAGCTATATCCATGATGCCCTGGCCAAATTCCCTGACAGAAATAACCAAAGAATTAGATGCTCTGCCTTTGATCTCTGACTCAATATATGAATTTCCAAGTTGTAGAAGCGCTCTGAATCAGTAAATAGAGCCTTTCTCCAGTGCCTTCACCCTGTCAGATCCCTCTCAGCCCGTGATTCTGATCACCCAGTGTGTTCACTGGTGAGGCAACTTATGCTTGCGTGTCTTCTGTGCTGACTCAGACTCTCAGTCATTCTAAATCAAGTTGTCACGTCAAGGTTGGACAAAAAAAGAAAGTTGGTCATACTTATATAAACCCTCAACATGAATTGATGTGAGACAGTCTACCTGGCTACACAAGGAATGAGTGTGCATTGGGGCTGCTTACTGTTTCCTCATCAACAGTTTTAAATGAGATATGTTCTCAATTCATTGAGAACTCCATAAAATGTTATTTTGATCCTATTCATTCCTGCCCATCACCCCAACACCCCCTGGCTCCATTCTTATCTCTCCAGTCTTTACCAACTGCAGATCCTTTTCATTTTATCTTAATAACCCACCAAGTTCAATTAGTGCTAATCATATATTCATGGGCATGTGTCTATCCTGGAATTTGTTCAACCTACCAAGGGCAAGATCAGTTCCTACAAAGACTCCTTCTATCAACAGACTTTTTGTGGCCATTTTACTTATTTATTTATTTATTCATGAATATTATTATTCTTATGCATTTATATTGACGACGATCATGATGATAATGGTGACAATGATGATGAAGAAAAAGGTCTTTAGTTTAGGCTGGTTTAAAATTCACTATGAAATAAATGGAAGCTTTTGCTGCCCTGGAGGCATTGCAGATGTGACTGCTATGTCACATGTGCGTCAGTAGGTGGCAGACAAGAGAGGAATTATGTCTATACATAAGTATGTCTTGACCTATGAACATTTGAATGATTAGTAGTCTAACATTCACTGAAAACAGCGAGCCTGAGATGAACATCAGTCTAGTGCACAACACCACAGCTCAGGACCAGACAGGCTCTGAGAACAGAGAGCAAGCTGGAGACTAGAAGAACTTCATGTGGGACTGTGGGCCTGGGCAACAGTGAGCTGGAGATAGATGACCTTTACATGGTGACACTCTGAGGCGAGCCTGTGATGACCATCAGACCAGTACCATGAGTCCCAGACAAGGAGCTAATGTGAGATGACCACCAGTTAGGTACTGGGCGGGCTTGGAGGGGTGGGCAACACTGTGCCCAAGATGACCCCACAATACATGAGTGGGGCATACATCCAGAGACCACTCCTGAGGTGACTCCAGACTCTCAGAGACACCAGGCACCACTAAGAGGAGCAAGTAAGTGGTGAAGAATAGAAGAGAGAGAGAAACAGAAGGATGTGGGCACCATGAAGAGAGGCAGAACTGGAAACTCAAGGGTAGTGAGGAACAGCTGATGTGAGCAGCCTGTGATACCACCTGGGAGCATGGTGGTGTCCTGGGCTGTGATGCTACCTTGGTCCTGCAGCATCAGGGATCTGTTACCAAATGCCAGGCAAATATCCCTGGTGTGGGCCACTGCCCAGGGACATGTTGATGGCTGAGGACTGTGTAGAACTGGCCTGCCCCTCACCTGGGCAACAAGGGAGAGCTGGCCCTGGGGGCATGAGAGCAGGAAAACTGCCCCTCCCCCTAGTCAACTGCAGCACTTGGGAGAGCAGAGCCTACACATTCCAAGAGTTGTGAGTGAGTCAGTCCTGAGGACAGGAGCCTTGGATGCTGGCTCTACTCATCTCCCATATAGTGGTGTGGATGAGGGGGAGATATCCTCCCTTCTTCTCCTCCCTTATCACCTATGGCAGCTGGCCCTGGGGTCATGAAAACAGAAGAGCTATCCATGCTCCTCATTTGCTGCAGCACTCAGGACAGCAGACCCTGTACCTTGCCTATATAGCATAGCAGAGCTGGTTCTGAACGAGGGGTTTTTGAAGATTAGCCAGCTCTGAAAGTGTGAATGGTGGAGAGCCATTCCTGCTTCTTGTCTACTGGGCTGTGGTGTAGAGAAAGGGAAAGATGCCACCCTCCCCTCCCTGCCCCTATACCATCTATAGCATGTGGGAGAGCTGCCCCCTGCCCTGGTCATGAGAGTGGAAGAACTGACCATGTCCCTCACTAATTGCAACACTTGGGAGAGGGGGCTCTTCATTGTCTGGGCAGAGGAGAGACCCAGCCATGGTTGCAGGGGTTGCTGGTGAGCTGGCCCTGAGTGTGTGAAAGTGGGAGAGCTGGTAGGTTGACCAGCTTAGATACCTCTCAGGTCCAGATCCAGGACTTTGAATTGGCCCAACCCAATATCTACCCTATTGATGAACTGCTGAAGGGCTGGTCCTATAGAAACAAAACATCAGGCTCTCCATGACACAGGGCAACAACAGGGTATCCCAGAAGAATCTCAGTGATGTTTCAGTATTGGAACCTC